AATGTCGGCTAGCCGCTCATGCCATCAGCTAGCCGGACGGAAATTTTTTTTAGCCAGCCATGAAAGTAAAATTCCGTGGCTAGGAGATCTACAGTAGGCAAGTTAACAAAAACTTGTTTAATATTAAAAGGTGTTCAATATTAAAAAAAAAATTTTGAAAATCATTTATTATATCATTTAAAAGCTATGCTAATTTGTTAATGCAATTTTTGGAATATAATAGGGAATTTTTGAAACGAACAATGTTATCAGTCTCTATTTGATCAACACTTATATAAATTTTGACCTCACCCAGTAGACATTCAAGCACTTTTTCATTAATTAATAATGAATCAATAATAGTGGGTGTTAAAATCACACGTTTAGAACAATCATTTTGTTCGGCATCTCCAAAAATTAAATATGGAGTCATTTTCTCTAATAATGCATTGATACGGTATTTCAATGCATCATTTAAAAGAATCCACTTCTTTGACAGGGATTGTTCTACCACCAAGTTTTAATAGCCTTTGGAAAAAATCTCCTTCCCCATCATGTACTCTCATATTTTCAGTTAATGCAAACTATTGTACCCTTTACCACTGTAAAGAACATTTTATAAATAACTCTACAATTTTACCCGGATGCCCTTTTTTCACAACAGGCAGTATTTGCCTAAAGTTACCACCAAAGAGAATAAATTTTCTACCAAACAAAAAGTTGTTGTTGCAGACATCTTTTAACAACCTATAAATTGCATTTAAGGCATGTTTAGGCATCATGGATGTATCATCAAGCAAAAACAAATTTACTTAAAAAATATTCATGTTTAGAGTTAGGAGTTACATTACAAGGAGTTACATTACAAAATAAGCTATGCAATTTAGATTCATTTGTAAGAAGAGTTGCTGCTATGTCAGTCCATGCAGCTGTTGCACACTTAAAACCACTACTTATGGTTTCTGCGATCAAATAATTATAAGTAAAAGGTTTTCCACTACCAGCTGGTCCATCCATGAAAAACAATCTGGAATGTTGATTTTCTACACTTGGTTGCTTATTCAGTGCAGCAAGGAAAGCATTACAACCTTCTAATTGATTGAAATTAAGCAACGGTCTCATTGTCAATCAATGAGACCGTTTGGCTTCGTCAACAGATTATTGAAAATTTAATCAAAACTTTTTACATTAAAACCTTTAAAGTCATCAATAGCAGAAAGATGTAATCAGCCAGTGTTTTACCACTTTGGCTAATGGTCTTTTTAATTTGACAATAGGTAGCTTGTTCAAATGTTAGAAGTGAGACTGAGCGGTAAATGAAATCTTCAATCAAAAAAAGCTTTGTATGTATTCCTGAGAGGTAAAGGATTTTCAGGTTCACAAAAGGTCAAAATAATTGAAAACAACATATGCGTTAAAACTGTCTCAGAAAGAGTATTCTGCCATTCAGTGTCATCTTGGAACAAACCTTTTAAACACATGCTTAACAAAACGTTTAAAGAAAAATAACATTAACAGTACGCACATCCTTCCAAGATATTGCTCGTTTTGCCTGCAAAAGTAACAAAAAAAAGTGTTGTTTGCTCCTTCTCTAAAATACACTAACTGATTGTCAGGAAGATGAGTTTTATAACGGATAATAGTGTGTGACATTTAAATAATGGGATACTCAAATATTCGCCACAATGCTTCAGGCGCACTAACATAACAACAACCTAAAAAAGTATTTACTTCATCGTGATTAATTTGTTTATTTATTACAACAATTTCGTAGTCACGCCCTCTTGTATAAATACTTGTGCAAATATTTAACAGCCAATACAGACATGCACACTTCAACATTAATGTGGATTTGGTATTTTATTGATAACCATGGATTGTAAAGTACACCCCAACGGTTATCAACATGGTTGACTTTAATATTGATAACCGAGCCATTGTCACGATGCCTATATCGCAAATAATCATTAAGAACTACTACTGTGGTAGCATTAAATTCTTTAGGATAATATTTGCTGTATTTTTCATGCAGAGAGAATTTGGATTCAATATACCACATGAACCATGAATCATGCAACTTTTACCAATGTCATAAAATTAAGGATTTACGATCGGATCAAGATTTCTGCAGATATTAAACTATTGATGTCCTGTGCTGTCTCAAGCTTACCATCATTTGAAAAATGAAGTAATACATGAACATGTAGCAAACCATGTTTTTGAAATTTGATAACCTGAACATGGGTTACAACTTTCCCTAATACACAATGCATAAAATTATCATTTAGGAGGTTATTTAACTTGAGTTTAAATACTTAAGTAATTAAGTTTAGTCTATCCTTAGAAGTCTGACCTGGATATAAATTTTCAGATATCTCGCGCCATTATGGGTTGCAGATAAAAGTAGTAAAAAAATCTGGTTTACCATATTTTTAAATTATTGTCATGACATCTTCTAATTTTTCTTTTAAAGCTCGAGGATTATCTACATAAGATGATGGTAAAACCACTACACGCCCTGGTCCAACATTATGATCAGTTCCAAAGTTGTTTACATGTTGAATTAAGGCATCATACTGCTTGCTTTTCAGTTTGTTTTGGTTATTTCTGATGAAAGCAAGGCGCTGGGCTTCAATTTTGACATATGCATCAACAGCATATTGATGAAACAGTTTCTTGCCATAAAAGATTGGAGAAAAGAATTGTCTAACTGATAGTCTATAATTGTAATACTGAGATAGAGTAACATGATTTCTAACCAATGTAGCATGTTCAGGGTTGTGAACGAATTGATTATGCCAACCAGCATCATCTTGGGAATCAGCATCACCTCTTGGGAACCAGAATCACCTCTTGGGAACCAGCATCACCTCTTGGGAACCAGCATCACCTCTTGGAAAAAATAGAGGATAAATTATAGGATCTAAGTTGGCTGACATACTTGATATAATTTCCAATTTTTCATCTCTACTAGCAAATACAACTGCAACTTCATTATGCGAAGGGAAATTATAGCAACGTCTATCTTGCCCTTCAAGTAAAGACATTTTTACAACTGAGACTGAGCGACCTTATATAGCTGCTTGACGAATTTCTTCATCTTTTACTTTAGCCATGTTTTCAAATGCAAAAGTAAATGGTTTTTTTTTCACTTACTATTGTTTGCAAACAATACATTAAATCACGTAGGCAAAGATAATTGCCACGTTGTTGCTTTCTAAGGTTCACTGCTGCAAGTGGGTCATAGATATACAGTTGACAGTATTTGGAAGAAGTGCCTTGATGTGGCTGAAGATTACCTATACGATAAAAACTTGACCACATGTTTTAAAACATGGTGGCTCATGATTTATAGGTTCAACCACATTAGCTGTAAATAAAGCAAAAGAAAGACAGTCATTATAATTCCTTATATATTTAAAAAAATTCATTTTGGAATTACGATCTATATAATTCCTTGTAAAAAAATCTTGTAAAGATTGCGGAAATGGTCAAAGAGGCGGTAGAACTACCTCTTTAGCACCAAACTGTTGACAGATCTGGTTCATATCTCCTAAAGATTCCTCGTTTTGCAACATTTTGTACATTATTCTCATAAGGGTTGAAATGAATTTCTGCGTCGTCAAAATGAAAGAGATAGAGCTAGGCAGGTCTATCTCTTTCATTTTGACGACGATTAATTTCATCTTGTCTAGCTCTATTTTCTTAATTTTCATGACGATTATTAGCGTTTACACAATGACTTCAAGCCCAATACCTTCTATTTCGATTTCATATTTTTAAAACTCACTGTTATTTAAAATAAAAAAAAAAATTATAAAAACAAATTAAAATATACAATTAAAGACAAAGTTAAGTTATAGTGATATTTAAATTATAAAGATAAAAAAAATATTTCTATAAATATATTTGTATAGAAATATAAAAAACTATAATAATGATAATATTTAATCTTCTAACTAAAATTAAAAATAAAAAAAAGCCAACAATTCTAATAACAAAGAAGTAATGAAAATTTTAAGTATTAAAAAAACAAAATTTTGAATTTTATTTTTATTCTTATCCATAAAACAAAAAAAAAATTTAACTAATTTAAAAGTGTTCTAAAATCAATAGAAATGTAAAGCAATATATTGCAAATCCAATTACTTTAAAATATATAAAATATCAACACCATAATTACACAAAGCAACAGCAAACAAAATATTTGCTGGATCACATTATACATATTTAAATACCGTTTTAAAGAGAAACGTAACAGTTTTAACTTAGAAAAATATATTAGTATAATCTTTGTTTTTCAACAGCATAATCTGTTTTTTCAAAAACAACTTTCAACAGAAGTTTTTTTTTTTCTATTACGTTTTCTAAGAGAAAATATAGCTATTAGTAAAGAGAAGCATTAAATATACAGAAATGTAAATGTATAACAGTCTCAATTTTTTTATGTTAAATATTAGGTAAATAAATAGTTTTCCAAACAACAAATCAAAATAAATGTATCAAGGGATCATCCATAATGGACTTCACTTTTTTCACAAGTTTAACAAATGACAAAAAGTAGGAGAATGTTGGCTCTTGTGCGCATAGATTTTAAAGATAATATAGAGCCTTATGTTTAATGAAGAGAACCAATAAACTTCTACCTCTGGTTATAACCAGGGTTATACCCAAACAAAATTATACGTATGTAATACGTATTTTTTCGTATTTTTTTTTCGTATTATTTACGGTACTTTTGGCCGCTGTTTGGGCGTTTTAAATACGTATCTTTTAAACGTATTAATACGTATTTTTTCGTATTTTTTTTTTCGTATTATTTACGGTACTTTTGGCCGCTGATTGGGTGTTTTAAATACGTATCTATTGAACGTATTAATACGTTTTTTTTTTCGTATTTTTTACGGTACTATTGGCCGCTGATAGGTTGTTTTAAATACTTATCTTTATAGAATTTTTTTTAGTATTATTTATGTAACTTCGGCAATTAAGTTTATAAGCCATATATAATACAATATACATAAACAAGACATTTTTTATTTTTAAACTTTATTTCAAAGTTTATTTATTACTTGGTTAATTATCCATTCCAGGCATTTCGAGTATCGTTGCTTCGGCTGCTTAAAGAAGAGAATTTTGAATCATTTGATTAAGTTTCTTTAACTGCTCAGACAACCTGCTTTAACAGCATCGTTTACTTGAACGAATAACACGTCTTTAAGAATTTTAGAAACAATATCTAAACGTACAAATAGTTTCTAAAAAACATACTAAACAGTATCTGAATGTACCAACAACAAAAATAAGCAATACTATTTAAAATACTTTTACAGTGTCTCAAGAATGTTCTCCTCCCAAACATATATTACTTCCCCACAAAAAATATGTTTTGTGTGGCAAAAATATGTCAAATACACACACATATCTATGTAAATAAAAAATATCATATACTAAATATTTTTACCTCGAATTACATCTTGTTGTTTAACATCTTCCAAAAATCTAGATATAAAGAAAAATTACAAAAACATACTATGTACAGCTGAACATACTACCTACAATTAAGTATATAACTTTGTTTAGTGTCTGTTCATTATTTGTAGTAAAAGATTATTTTTAAAGCTGTTTAGTCATTAAACTAATTTTTTAAGTTTTTATACCATATAACCAAAATTGTTCCAAACAAACCAAGTTGAGTATCTTTTTTTTAATTAGGCCCTCAGAAAGACTAAAATTTATAAAAACTCACATAACAGCAGTTCGTTTTCCATTTTATGCATCTATCTCCATACCAATCAAATTTAACATTACTCTAATTTAAAGACAATTCAAAGAAGTGCTACTAGTTGTTGATTTTCATTTTACCATCAAGATGCTGATTTATAACTTTCTGTTCTAGCTTCCAGCATTTGCTGTATTTTTCTAAATAATTTTGCAGCCATAATAACATAAATTATTTAATGAAATTAAGCAAGCAACCTAAATAACCGTGCAAAAAACAACTGTTACAATGATGTTAATAAGGAACATTATCAAAAAAATAGCACATTTTTTGTTAAAACAAGAACGTCAGCTGCAGAGCAAATGATGTTCTCGTTTCAAAATAAAACAAAAACTTTACCCACCTGTAAATGAAAGAATAAAATGTTATATTTTATATTTAAAATATTTATTATGTTAAATATAAAATGAAGATAATTGTCGATTTTAATAAACAAAAATTTAACTGTTTTGTTATATGACATGTTTTATTAAAACATGTCATAAAACAAAAAATTTTTTTCATCAATAATCAAAACCTGACCTTATTCAAAAAAATAAAATAAATAATAAATAAAATGGATGTGTTTTTAACTCACTTGCGAGTTCTCCCTAAATCAGTCAGTGTATGTACTGAAGCCCTCGCCTATCCCTAAATAAGTAACATGTCATAGTGCTAACCAAAGTGTGTAAGCAGGATCTTTCAAACTTATAAGTCTTCTCAACAATAAAAAAGACTTTATATTTTAACAATTTATTTTAAAATTAATAAAATAATTGATTTTTAATCAAACTCTGGAATTTCAGGTGTAGTTTCTTCAGCTGTTGTAGACTTAGAATTTCGATTTCTTTGATTGAGTCTCTTTAATTGTTCCGAAATCGCAACATTTATTTGGACCAACGACACACCTTTATGAACTTTCAAAACAACATCTAAATTAAATGTATTAAATTTTTTGACTAATCACATTCAAAAGACATTAAATAGGGTCTCAAAAAATTATTATATGTTTATATATATATACAGTTATGGCCATTGAAATCCGACCACTGCTGAATATAAAGAAAAACAGTCTATGCACTCCAATAACCAATTTATTTTCTTCCCTGTTATCAATGATTAGTTAATTAGCTTTTAGACAATCACATTAGTGTTTATTTTATTGCACTGTAAAATTTATTAAGCTATATATCTCATTGTAGGGTATGGATTATCATTTAACTGTCACAATTTAATTATGACTACGAAGAAAGGTGTTCGTGCTAATATTAAACTTTTATGGGAGGATGGTGCAAGTGAGCATCAGATAAGTGAGTGTATGTGAGCAAACAGACAATAAGATACGCAGGGCTGCTGTGAGAGATCAAACAATATCCAGCACACAAATCAGGGCAGATCTACCTAATGACGTTACAGTCAGCACTTGAACAATAAGAAGACGTTTATTGAAAGATGTAGGCCTACGTTCTCGTCGTCCAGCCCTCAAACCGCGACTGTCTTTAAAGAACATCCGTGATAGGATCGCATTAAAGTCAGCAGTTAATCAATCAATCAAGTTAAAGTCAGCAGTATCCAGAACTAATCCTACATCACTGGACAATCTAGCGCACAAAATTCGTCAAGCTTGGATTACTGAAATAACACCAGAATATTGTTAGGCTCTCGTGGATTCAATGCCAGATCGCATTAATGCAGTCTTAAAAGCACATGGTGGTGCCACTAAATATTAAATTCAACGAACCTGAGAGTAAAAAACATTAATATAAACATTAAATATGTACGATATGTTACATTATAATCATTAATTGCTACTGTTATTCTTTTATTGCTATAATACAATTGTTTATTACTACATTAAACTAGTTTTAAGTAAAATGATACTGGTGGTCGGATTTCAATGGCCATAACTGTATATATATATATATATATATATATATATATATATATATATATATATATATATATATATATATATATATATATATATATAAATATACATTTAATGATTCATTTAGGGTAATATATAACTATAAATAAGATAATATATAATTTATACATAGTAATACTTGTAATTTTCATATATATTAAATATATTGACCTAGAATTATGGAAACAAAGTTTCCCTTTGCTGAAGAAAAACTTTTTTTTCCGCGTTTCCCATCTCTAGAATAACAACTAAGAACATTGTCCTTTAATAAACTTCTTAATATATTTAGAATGGTCTTGTTGACATTTGAGTCTGACCTCTTCCGCAAATAACGTATCTAAACAGGAACAACAATTAGAAAATATCCATTTTATGCTGTACATTTTGGTTTACATAAACTTTAAAAAAACAATTTTATATATTTATATAAATAACATAGACAAATTTGCTCAAACAACCCAAATTAAATGCCTTCAAATATTTTACCCATAGAATACCTAACAGAAACATCACAAAAGTTTACTTACCAAAGAAGTTCGTTTTCCATTGTCACTATCTATCTCTATACCGAATTGTTCAAAATCAACTTCACTCTCAAATGGAAGACAATTCAAAAAATGGCTATCTACATGCTGATGCTCATTTTGACATTGTTGATCTAAACGATGATTTATCACAGTCTGTTCTGCACGCATTTGTTGTATTTCTTTAAATAATTTCTCAAACCACGTAACAACATGCGTACAATGATGTGCACAAGGAACATTAGCTAAAAAATAATAAAAACTTTCTGGTAACGTAACAACAGATCCAGAGCAAATTATAACACCATTCCTTAACCGGTAAATGCAGATGGAGAAATAGTTTGTATTATATAATGTAAAACATTTGATTTTACTTATTATGATTTACGAGAACTAATTTAAGATTATGATTAACGATAATAAAAGATTAAACTGTCTTATGTTATAAAACAAGCCATAAAACAAAAATATTTTAATAATCAAAAACATCTTCAGTATAATAAGGAATTGTAGCAAAAAGCCATTGCTCAATATATATTTTAAAGAATAATCTTCAACAGAATAAAATTAAGTAACTCACTAGAGATTGGTGTTGGAGTTTGAACAGAGTTTGAAATTGAAAAATCAGGAACTAGTGCTGATTTATCTGGAAATGAAGGATAGTTATTAGATGAAGTGGTTTGGCAGTTAGAATTAAATTTTCTATTTTTGGCTAAGGGTCGTAAAAACTCTTGCGTATTAAATATGCTATGATCATTATCTAAAAAAATTTTTTTTTTCAGTATTGACTAGCTACATAAAAGTTATACAAATCTAACATATTCTTATATGCAGATATAAAAAATGCTGTATGCAGATACAAAAAATGGTCATTAAGATCATTAAATGATTAATCAGTCAACAAGCCTGTTCTTGTTGAACAAAGTTAAACATTTAGCTTACTAGAAAACGATGCTGAAGTTTGAATTAAAGATGGATTAGAAACTAGTGATGGTGCATGAGGAATCAAGGGGTTGTTTAAATAGGAAGTGGTATGGCTATTTGAAGTTAATTTGCTGATTTTGGATGGTGGTTGACAATATTCTTGACTGTTAAATCTGCTAGGGGCATATATAATTCTGCTACCATCTTCAGCTGAACTAAGATCAGAATTTTCCTCAGCTAGTCGCTCCTTTGCCCTTGCTGATTTGAGAGTTACTACAAAAATAAAATTATAAAGATATTAAATTAAGCTGTTTCATAATTAAAAAATTAAGAAAACATGTCTCCTTTAGTCAGTTGAAATGCTTACTCTCAGTAAAAATACCTACAGATGTTACTGGACAACACTCGTACTTCATAAGAAATCCAGTCAGCACCTGGCTCTTCATGGTTTAGTAACATGTTTTGCAATTTCTTCCCTACTCTACAGTTGGGCCACAAAACGCATCCTGAATCTTTAAACCATTTACTGGACACTGTTGCCACTTCATTATCAATATTAAAAATAACTACTGAATAAGACATCTGTTATAAAAAAAATTTCAAATACAAAATATTAAAAAAAAAAATTTGCTTAATTTAAATAAAGAAAAAAAAAATAGTTAATTACCATATAAGACCTATTATTATTTACCTATTATTTACCATATAAGAGTAATACAATTACATCCTGCTAAACAACGTTCAAAGATACTTCAAGAACTAACATTCTGCAAATTTAAACTTCAAAACAAAGAAATAATAAAATGTGTAAATGTAGTTCATAATTTTACACTATATATTTAAAAAGCTGCCCAAATAAATTAAAGCAATTGTAAGAAATGTATGAATAGATATAACAAAATGAAATACATGTTGTATACCATAAATAGACATGGAACAAATTACAAATACTGTATAATATAAATTTATTATCTTATTTGAAAAAATATATAGAACTCTAAAATATAATAAGAACTCAAATCTCTGATAATGGGGTTACAACAAAGGAAGAAGAATATGGGAGACAACAACATTTAATAACAATATCAGAAAACGGAATTGTATGCAAAGTGTCACTAAGACAACTAACTTTAAAAATAGATAGTTTCGAACTTGCAAGTGGAACGTCATAAAAGTTTGTTTGCACAGTAAAACACCTGGCTAAGAATAATGGATTTTTTAAGTCTTCTGCTAAGATGTTAACTATTTGATAGCACTTTTGTCCTACCATTACTGAACTATCCCGCAAACCGCTTGAAAACCTTTGATTTTTGTAATGGCACACTTTATATTGCAAAAAATGGCCCTGATTTGGTAAAGACCCACTACAATGTTGAAGGGAAACTCCATCAGTGTGTACTTTCCTAGAATGTTCAGATTTGTTATCAGAAAGACTAGAAGCTACTTGCTGAAGCGGCAAATATCCACTTCGAATTCTTCGTTTTAAATGACCAAGAGCATTTTCAAAGGGGAAAGCACAAAAATTGCCAAGCGGTCCAAATTGTAAACAATCATTATGCAGATGTATAAGAGAATGCACATTATATGACATAAATGATTTGCCATACAAGGCAACAGCATTTGTAACAAATATTTTCAGCAACTCACCACAATATTTAATAACTTCATGCTCTTGTGACCTACATAATAGAAATATGGAACTATGTAAAATAAGAAAATGTTCATAAACTGGTTTACTAAGAATATCACACAAAACAATAGGCCCTGAATAAAGGAGAAATGATCGGAATTCTGTTGCCTTCCACTTATTCATACTCTCCAATGAACGAGGTCTTTTGTTAAAATCTGATGGAAAGAACAATGAAACATGAATTAATCGAGCTGATATTGTTTTTAGTGATTGCGAAGATAGCTTAACACTGAATGGTCCAGAAGACCAAAAATTTAGAAGTTTTCGTACTACCCCCAGACAGACAGAATGCATATAGTCATTTGGAAAACTATTAATTGGATGAATAGGAATTCCTAATAAAGGTGTCACACCAATATGATGACTATCATCTTCTCTAGAAACAAAACTTTCTAATGTTCTCAAGGGTGCATCTGTTTCTAAAAATACAACCTTGTTTAGCCATTCACCCTCTACAGAGCACTTGTCACAGCTGGAATATCCTGAATGATACTTTATGCACTTAATAAATGCACGTGCAGGGGCATCACATACAGTATTAGTTATATGAATATTGCACAAGTGTGAGTTAATTGTAACACCATTGCTTTTAAGATGATTTATCTCAGTAATAAATTGGGAAAAAAACTCTTGTAAATTTGGTTTTTTCCTTCCACTAAAAATAGCAACAACTTTTGGTGACAATGAATCGTTAACTTTTTTTACCAGAATTGGCCAAAATGATATTTCAGAATTGTGATAGATTGGAACACCATCAATATTAAATTGCAAACAGATAATCGATGGGTTAGACACACTCAATGTTTGAAGAAAAGGTTCAACACCAATATATAATATATATTCACCATTAGTCACAATTCTAATTGTTACAGGTTTTGAATTTAATAATGTTTTTGAACACTTTGGTAATTGAGTATGATAAGGTTTTAAAATAGATAACAATTTGTCCATTGTTGCATAAGGTATATTGTTTTCAATCGCATAATCACGTAACTTAATTTGCAACTCAAATTCACTTGGATTTTCGCCACCAGAATCACTGCTGGTAGATACTTCATTGCATGAAGAATATAATGGAGATTAATCTCCATTACATTCTTCATGCAGTGAAGTATCTGAAACAGGTTCAAAATCAGAACAATCAGAATGGTCGTTTAAGTTTTTGGATTTCTCCAAATGGACATTATCATCTTGATATTCTAAAATTAAAGTTAAACAATAATTCAAATCATAACTTAACAAACCAAACAGAATATATAATGTAAAAATTAATATAAACAACAAAGGCAATGACTAATGTAAATATTATAATTGATAAATAAAAATGATTCTGTATAAACATAAAATTTATGATAAAACAAACCATTTGTGATATTCAAGAAATTACTAACTGCAATGGCAACTTTTCTACGTTTATTTCTTGAGAAAGACATTTGATATAGAATTATAGTAAAATAAAAATCTGCAAATAAAACAAAAAAAAGGATTGACATTTTCCCGATATTTACGTAGGAGAGTGCAGCGCCAAATCTATTAAAAATAATTTTTTCACTGCGCTCTCATACATAAAACATCCAAATATATTAGAAAAATCCAAAAAATACTTTTCGTAAAATATCAAGTATATTTTTTCCCTTATTTTCTTCCTAATTTTGATTTCAGCTGAGTTGTTTCTCAAATGTTTGGAAACTTTTCCTAATTTTTGTATGAGTAATTACTAAAAAAACTTATAAATTAAATATATTACACAAATATATACTTAAACTTTTAGGTATTTAAAACTTTAAAGATATCCGGATGTATATATATATATATATATATATATATATATATATATATATATATATATATATATATATATATACACATATACATATATATCCGGGTGTTATTTATCCCAAAGGCACATAGATACATACATACATATGTATACATTATGTATATGATACAAATATATGTAGTTACACATACAGAGTGTAAAATATGGTGTAAATATGTTGGCTGTTTTCTTCAATTAAGGATATTATTCACATTCAATGCTTATTATTATTAAGTTTTAAGAAAATTAAAATATAAAAAATTAAAAAAAGTCAGTAATATATATTTAATATAATACTGACTTTTTTTAATTTTTCATATTTTAATTTTCTTAAAACTATATATAATAATTATATTACTGGTAATATATATATATATATATATATATATATATATATATATATATATATATATATATATATATATATATATATATATATATATATATATAATATATCTTATATCTATATAATATATACTACATAATATAGTATATATTATATAGCTATTAGATCCTACTGCCCCGCTGATCTTATTACCCTTCTTTACCCTATATATCATATAATACTATTTTAATTATTATAATGATGAAAATTTAAATTATAACTCTACGTAATATAACTAGTTGAACTTTATCAAAACCTCTAATGACATTGTTTGTTTTTTATTAAAAATTGCCTTAAAAATAAAATATTAATTTAAAATATTAAATATTCAAGTTAAATGTTAAATTAAATTAATAAAAATTAAATATTATTTGATTAAATACTCTATGATATTGTATACCTATCACTGTATATATTAGTATATATAACTGATATAATATAGTGGTAATTGCTAAAAAAAAATCATACGCCTCGAGTCATTTATCTTATTTATAAAAAGAGACCGTAGAAATGTTTAGCTAGCATTTTTAACCGCAAATAAATTTTGTGTAAGTGTTTTAAAATACGTAAAAATACGTATTTTAGCCTTAGGATATTATTTCTTAGTTTAAATTCGTATTAATACGTAAACATACGGATTAAAAGATACGTACTATTTAATACGTCATATAGACGTAAGTTTACGTACCTTACGTATTATTTTGCGCAAATACGAATTTAATACGTATAATTTTGCTTGGGTAGTAATTAAATTCTAAATGACGTCCTTTATAAACGATTCCAAAGTTACCAGGGTTAGCCGATGTAGCAGTTGAAAAAAATAAATGAAATAAATAAACTAATAACAATAATTAATTAAATTCTGATGATAATGTTTAAACAAACATTATTTATTGCTATTTTTTCAAGCAACAAATAAAAAAAATGTATTAAGTTACCTGGGGAGCTTAATGCAGCAGATAAAAAAACTAAATTAAATTAATAACCCAATAAAAATAATTTATTTAACCATTTAACCATGATGACAATGTTCAAATAAACATAATTTATTATTAAAAGTTAAATATTTAAATTTACCTGGGATGGCCAATGCTACAGAAGAAATAAATAAATAAATAAAAAAAAAAAAGTAAAAAAAGCTATTTTATTTCAACCTGATAGTAATAATCAAATAAACCAATAATTTCCTCTTTTTAATTTATGAATAGACATCACCATATGTAACAGCTGCTGAAACAATACCTAAATAAAAAAAATTAAATTGCCTAATTTAAACATATTCAATGATATAATCTAGATTAAGGAAAACTAAAATGAAAAAATAGCTTACTGCTCTCAAATCTACAAAAATAACAAAGTAACTGAGTTCTATCGATCTGTCTAAAAAATAAAAATTAAGCAATAAAATAACTTTTAATAAAAACTTCTTTGTTATTAAAGTTAGAATACAATTAATTAAAACAGTAGTTAATCTTCTTTGTTATTAAAGTTAGAATACAATTAATTAAAACAGTAGTTATTAGAGAAAATGCTATTCCTGCTTTATACTAATGAATGATAAAACATATTTGTTTCGCTGTCACTTTGCCTGTCTATAAAGTTAACATATATATATATATATATATATATATATATATATATATATATATATATATATATATATATATATATATATATATATATATATATATATATATATATATATATATATATATATATATATATATATATATATAGAGGTACGTGCATATCGTGATTTACGTAACCGATTTTTGTGGTAAAATTTTGTGACCCGGTTTTTTCATTTTTATATATATATATATATATATATATATATATATATATATATATATATATATATAAATATATATATATATATATATATATATATATATATATATATATATATATATATATAAAAATGAAAAAACCGGGTCACAAAATTTTACCACAAAAATCGGTTACGTAAATCACGATATGCACGTACCTCTATATATATATATA